TCTTATTAGGCTTCCCTATTGGGAAATAGGTCACTCTTGATACACAGAACTATTCCCTGCTGGTGCAGAGACTGAAAAGATGGAAGGTCGGACTGGAGTATAATAAATTACATGAGTGAAAAAGCTAGCCAAGCTGGCGCCTGTTGCCTCATGTCATGTCCAGACAGTACAGCACAAGGCACGCCCTGGGCTCAGTGACCTTCAGCCTGTGTGCGTCCTGAACGTCCAGCGGCCTGGCTGCCCCCATGCTCTCTGTGAACCAGCTGATGTCCAGCAGGTGGACAGGTCTGGGTGTCCATCCGCCAGGGATCTGTCTGTCCAGCCAGTCCACGACCTCTTCCCCCGTGTTATTCTCCGATACCACATGTGTGACAGCATCACTGCAACAAGAGCACAGCAGGTCCTGATGAGTGGCACATCTTGCTGAAGGGTACAAAATGGATTTGACACACAAATTTCCAGTCACAAGTCCAGAGCCCTGACCACTGTTTCAGACAGTTGATTTGTAGTCCATCCATCTATTTTCTAATCTCTGTATCCAACACTGTCGCTTTTACAAGTTGTGCACAGCACTTACAGTTTTTAAAGCGTTTTTATTTCGTTGTACCACGTTCCTACCTGTAGCAGTCCTCCACGCGGAAGCCTTTATTTCTCCCCAGGCGCGTGAGAAAGGCCCTGCGGCTCGCGCCCATCCTGCGCTCCAGGAGGAAAATGACGACATCGGGGAATTTAATGACTTCATTTCTCTCGCAGTTTACGTCATTGCGCACCGTCTTCCTACGCTTTAACGGGACCATGGATAGGTGAGGTTGGGGTTCGAGATTTCCGTGCTGTGACGCTCTGTTGTATAAAATCGTTTCAGCGAAAAGTGACTGCAGTCTTAAACTGCGTTAAATTCCATTTTTGCTTATTCGATTATGTGTATTTATTTCCTTTCCGATTTTGAAACTTTGTAACTCCGGTCCGTAGTTCAAGTCGTTCAAAATCGCAGTGAACCCTATAAAATAATACGGTTTCGTCATTCACTAGTATTATGGTTTAACTATAATGTGTGCACTCCAGTCAGTCACAGCAATGAATTACACCTGAAAACATAGTCAATGTCCAGACTTAAGCGTGTTAAAGAATTGCAGTTGGTGTCTGAGCAATTTAACTTCCTGAAAACATTGTTTCTGTCCCGGAGGCGACCGCAGCTGTGCTCCAATTTCTCCCCTATGCCGCGGTGTTGCATCAAAATATATCCGATTGGGAAACACCGCATGAAAAGCTTAAATGGTAGTGATGATTCTTATTAGTTACGTTTATATTAACGTTACAATTTGCATTTGTGACTGATGATTAACAATTAATCAGACAAGAAAAAGTCTGATTAAACGTTAATTCTGCCTGTCCTCTATTCAATCTTTAAAGCATTTTCTGTTTTATAAGTAACCAACTGTTAACTAGGCTATTATAATTTTTTCCGAGGTTGTTACGTTTAAAATGTCTCATGAACTAATAAATAAGCACGGGTGTAAAGAAAACGTATAACTCAATAATAACATTACTCGAGAAAACAGATTTAATTGATTCTCGGTTGACTTTCAGGCTGCGACTAGCATCAATCTAGTGACTGAAGTTGCCCAGCCGGAGACATAAAGCGCACTTTCCCGGGCTCCACCCTCTTACAACTGTGATTGGCTACTTCAAAAGGACCGGCGTACTACTCCAATCTGATTGGTCGGTAGAAGGTAGCGCTGCCCTCGTGACAGAAATACGTAGATGACCTTAAGCGAGTCCAGGAGGTTCAAGTCTAGTATGACTCAATAGATTTACGTGTGATGTTTTCTGAACATAATTGTTTTTAGTATGCACTGTTTATATTCATTTTCCTGTTGCTTCGACTGTTCTGCAAATATTTGTACACTGAAGGAGGGGGGCGACGGCGTTGTTTTAATAATAAATAGCAGCAGCCCAAAGTTGGTTCTCCTTTTTAACGCGAGGTTTTAAACCTAATGGAGCACGTAGCTTTTGTAGTTTCTGTTTTATGAAATGGTTATAGTGATGTGAAGCAATACAAACCCAGTGCTCTGTTTTTAATTTCTTTTCAAGCCGCCGTCCGCTGAAAATCCCACTTTAAAAAAAAAAAGTCATATGATCAAGAGTCGAACAAGTATCAGGGATAGTTTCTACTTCCTCAAAAGTTCCTCGGGCCACCCCCCTCTATACACGCTTTCCGTGTTGCTTCTCCTCTCCTCCATTAGGCATTGCTGTGCGCCCCTCCAGAGTAACTTCAGGGCGAACCGAGTGTGCTGTGCGGTGTTCGTCGATGGCCGGTTCTCAGACTACCGGGATCACGGAGAAGCGGGGCCGGTTTGGCCGCATGAGAGTCCTTCGCTCCGCCGTGTTGCTGGGGCTGTGTGTCTGCGCGCTCAGGTGTGCGGAAGGCACCAAGTTAAGCAACATCGTCCTCATTCTGACGGACGACCAGGATGTGGTTCTCGGAGGGATGGTGAGAGTCCGCTTTTGTTGATAATTTTATTTGCGGTTCAAGTTGGAGGAGGTGCTCTTCCAACTTGACGCATTCAGGACAGCAGGTAACGACATCAGTCGTGCCCTGCTCTTCGGTTGTCACGAGGAGCGCTTTCCTTGACCTCCGGTAGTGGTCAGGAGTTAAATGTGCTAAAAACAGTAACGTCAAATTTGGTTTTCTGAACGTGTAATGAGAAGAATTTGAATGCAGGGAGTTTAGTCTTGTACAGTAAGTTCTGTAAAATTAAATCAGGAAGACTATGCTTTACATACTTCAGGGTAGTGGGTGACAGGGAGAATCGTGACAGTGTCATTTTAAAGTTTCCACAGAAATCAATTTTCTAGAGGATCAGTGGTTTCCATGTTTCTGTGGAACGTACACGCTGGTTGTCTGTGAGTATGGGTTCTCTTTCCCTGGACTGTCGAGGGCCTGAGTCTCATCTTACAGTGACTTATGGTCACACAGCAAGGCGTGCAAGCGCAAGAAGGGAGAGCCCACTGATCCGTTGGGGGAAATGGGCAGACCTGCCTCAGTCGGGCCTGGAGCTGACAGCTCTGTTCTCTCTCTCTCGATTCAATTCAATTCAGTTCAAGGTGCTTTATTAGCATGGCCGATGGGTACAATCAGTGTTGCCAAAGCAAATCAAAATAATGACATTCACATGAAACAAAACAAAAAATAAAAGTAAAGTAAAATAAAATCTACAGACATTTACAACAAAGACATATCCTAAAATATTTACATATACTGTAAACATATTGAGCATTATTGGGGGACAGATTCACTGTTCCTCAGGCTGTGACAGGAGATCACATACTGGGCTGCCAGTTCAATTGAGTTCCTTCCTCCCTCTCCCAGTAAGATTGGGACCCGTTGTGATTCTGGCAGGTGTAGGAACTCTGGGATTAGATTTTTGAATTTAGGGAAGAATGTTTCTCTAATCCCAGAGTATCTGTCACAGTGCAGTAGGAAGTACACATCTGTCTCTATTTCTCCCAGCTGGCAGTGGGAGCACAGCCTGTGCTCTCTTGGCAGCCAGGTCTGCCCGTGTCTCCCAGTTTCTATGGCCAGGCTGTGGTCACTGAGCCTGTACTTCATCAGGGTCTGTTTCTTATCTTGGTCAAATATTCGGCTACTGTGTATTGTCTGTGGGGTGTTTGTCCCATTGAGTCTAATCCTGGTCTGTGAGGGGACCCCACACTTGGATTACATTTTCAAATATTTGGAGCCAGATTCTTGTTGGTGGGTTGATGTTGAAGAGCCTCCTTCTTATTGTGTGGAATGCCCTGAGTGCCTTCTCTCTCAGTGCCTTCACTACCAAGTC